TTCTCTCTTATGAACCAAACCACCACTTTCTTTTCTCCCCCTCTTCTCTCTTATGAACCAAACCACCACTTGCTTTTCTCTTATGAACCAAACCACCACTTGCTTTTCTCTTATGAACCAAACCACCACTTTCTTCTCTCTTATGAACCAAACCACCACTTTCTTTTCTCTTATGAACCAAACCACCACTTGCTTTTCTCTTATGAACCAAACCACCACTTGCACCACTTCTTTCTCTTATGAACCAAACCACCACTTGCTTTTCTCTTATGAACCAAACCACCACTTCTTTCTCTTATGAACACCACCACTTTTATGAACCAAACCACCACTTGCTTTTCTCTTATGAACCAAACCACCACTTTCTTTTCTCTTATGAACCAAACCACCACTTGCTTTTCTCTTATGAATCAAACCACCACTTGCTTCTCTCTTATGAATCAACGACACGTTCTCACCCCAGTAGTGGGTTTGTCCTGGTTAAACTGTTTGTTTTCCTACTGTGTTGTTGATCTTCACTATTTGTTCTTTTCTACACTAGTAAACGAGACATAAAGTTGTATTCTGTCAATTTCCATCGCATGCATTTAAAGCTACATGTATTTTGGCAACTACAATAGATGGTTTACCTTCAACACAACTTGTTTTTAATGATTTCAATTGAAATTGAATAACAATGTCGAAATATTCGAGGTCGAAATATTCTAACGGCTAATTTTGTGCCTTTTTGGGCGTTTTAAACTTAGATGAAAAGAAAGATGAAAAATCATTACCGATTGTTAACACATTAAGATAATCCGCGACTGCAAAAAAAATAGAGGGCATGCATGCAGTTGTTGAAATATCGATTAGCTGAATCCTAGGTTAACAAAATCTTCAAAGCAATCTTCCCTTGTTTAGAAACATGGAAATATTTTTAGGTATAGACATGCAGAAATACACAAACCGAAACAACTGGTTGAATTTAGACCCGCCCCATGCAGGATAACTTCTTGAACAGAAGGTAGTATTCACCAGGGTTCGTAGCGGTCTTTGAAATCCTTGAAAGTCTTTAAATTTGAATGCAGGTCATTAAGGTCTTTGAAAAGTCTTTGAATTGTGTAAAAAAGCGAAGAAAGTCTTTAAAAGTCTTTAAATTCTTTAGTGAGTATTTGATTATACGATTTCCTAGCTAATATCGACGAAAAGGTGCATTTAACGATGTGATTTGACGGGACTAATTACTGGGTAAAAATGGTGCTTACACTCGCAATTTTTCGACACCTGATTGCTCTCAAAGGTCTTTGAAAAGTCTTTGAAAATAGGCAGAAAAAATTTTGAAAGTCTTTGCATATTTTTGGTCTTGGAGACTACGAAGTTACGAACGCTGTTCAAGTATGAAACCGAATGTCATGTTGTACAAATCAGCCATGAAAAAACTAATCTCGAAGAAACAAAAGTTTCGTCAATTACTCTCATTATTTTAAAGCGATAATTTTGACATAATAATTTTAAAGTGCTTATTTATGCAAAGAAATTTCCCGCTATTTTATGACTGTAATGTGAATACTAATGATTAAAGATACTTTACCAAACTATCTTGGCTACTTTCTTTTGAGATATTTGACAATGTTTGATATGCAAATTATCCTCAAATAATGGTTTCTGAATAATTTTTATAACTCTTATAAATAATTGATTCAAATTTGTCGACAAACATGTTATATTTGTATAGCACGGTTTTAAGGCTTCGCTGCGCAAAATCCCAAGATCGTCAAGTTTAAGTCATGCAATATGTCATACTGAGAATAATCTCAAAAATTGTTACATATCTCGAAGCAAGGTAAGAGAGTTTGGCTTATTTGATCATTTTCAATTTTCTTTACAATACAATCATAAAAAAATGGCGTGAAATTATTGCTTCAGCACTTCAGTTAATTTTAATTGTGTCAAACTATACGGTAGTATGGACAAACCTTGTACTGTAGAGCCTACACTTACACATGAAGATGATCTTGTGCATCCTGATCTGAAAATTGGTTAAGAAAGACAGTTAATAACAGGTTCACACCATGCAGTGGTAGTAAAGCATTTATTTATCGACAATATTTGCATAATAATGATCTAACCCATCTAAAATAGTTTAAACAAATGACGCGGTCAAAGGCTAAAATTAAAATATGTAAAGGCTAAAATTTCATTCCGACCAACACCATGTAATTTAGTCACTTCAAGTCATGGCCCGTGATAATATGTATTTCTTATCACACTTCATGTTTTCATGTTTTCTTAGTGTGTTTTCATTATATATACACGAGACGCTTTTGAGAACGTCATTCACCCGGAAATAAACATATTTTCAATTTCTACATACCTGTCAGCATACAGTAGATGATTACACTCTAACCACAATAAATAGGACGGGGAGACTTGTCGTAGACACTCGCTCATTAAATTACTCCGTAATGAAAACAATTTTCACTGATTTACGTATTTACGCTGAATTTATGCATTGGCATTAATATTTCAGCACGCAGTACTAGTGATTTATATTTGTATATTTTTATCGTGTTTCATGCATAGTTTGAGTTTTCAGCAGTTTAGCAGGTTAAGGTTACAAAAGTAAAAAATGACTTGATCAATCAACTGTGTTTTTAGCTCAGTCATATAGAGACATTTATTGCAGACATACAATGGACGAATTGCTGTTTATAATGTGCGCTGTTTCTGTTAACCTGTTGACACAACATGCTGCGTTATGAATGCAAATAATAGGATTATTTTTTCATCGTTCGCTTCTCATGTCTTTTTACAGGCGTAAGGGTTTTTTTCAATGCAAAATGATATTCTCGTATTTTGTCTGGGATTAATTTGATTTGTCTGTTCAAATAAGACCCCAGCCACGATGAAATGCACACATGTAATTAAATGTATACTTGTTTTCAGTTTTATTTATTTACATTATCAATTTAGTTTTGCGAAGATAGTCTGAAAACGGTAAAGCTCTGAATATACGCCCCTACACCCTGTACTGTATATAGCCCCCTCCAAATGCTACCATGTCCAGTGAAATGCTTAGCGACAAGCGCAAGCCCAAGCTAGTATATTTGGAGGATGTTGGGAAACGGCTAGGAAAGTGATGCAGGACAGATCAGCAACATTGTTTACTGAAAAAACAAAAATAGAAAATTTCGTCAAAATACGGAAATACCTTAGAAAACATTAGCGAAACAATATATCACAGCAATTTTAACCCCCCCCATCCCCCCCCCTCCACGCTTCGTTAGTCGGCCACATGTGAAAATCTGTGTTCGGTTCCAAATTAAGGACTGTTTCTTTGGTGAAGTTCGAATGGAAAATGAAAATACAATATGGTGAAATTCTCCATGCCAGCTACTCATGTGGAATTAGTGCAAAGTTTTTTCGGCACATTCAAACTTGTGTAATATTTTGAACAGGAAACAGTTACCGAGGAAGGTTTCGCAGTTGGTGGATGTAAAATACTTAGAACTTTCATGCAGAAAACCAGGAGTTAGCGTTCCAGTTTATTTAGAGTTAACCGGTTTAAACCGAGGAAAAAATACACAATGCAGAAGCTGGGATTGTGCGCTCGAACATTACTTATATGGCGTTGAACACTCTTTGTTATAACGGCTGTGTTTTTTTAAGAATTTTTTAAGAAAAAAAGATACTGAACGTGCATTTTCAAAACAGAAGTATTAATGTGTTTAAACACATCCTTGTATAGAAATCCCGCATGGTTTTATATCCCAGCAGGAAAGATCGCTTGGTATTTTTGAAGAAAAACAATAAATATAAGCCAGATGTTATAACATCTTGTTTTATCAGTATTGGAATTTTTCTAAATAACACTAACTAGTAGGGGTCGTGTAGTATTGCCAATTTTTCCAAATAACTCTTTTATACTTGTGGGGGGTCCTCTCTTATCAATAGTTGACGTCGCGAACCTAATTTTGCTGAATAGCAGTCTAGCTTCCTAAAATAGTTTCATAATTTGTCAAATCAATACTTTGTTTAACCATCGTGTTTTAGTAACTCCATTCATACTCACTTATTCACACTCGGGTTTCCTTGTGCCCATTTCTCCGTTCTCTGACCTACCGCAAAAATCCGGATGAATTCCGCGCGACCACAGTCGATTATTATGAAAATGGTTTTATTCGGCTCATGCCTAAATGGATAGTTCCGATCTAGAGTTGATTATTTGCTGTTTAGTTGTAAGAATAATATTCCAGTAATATGTAGTAGAAGGCATCCTGCTGTTGCAAATTAAAAGTAACAACACGTGCAAGTAACGCATGTTTTTAATGAGTGTGTTACGTAACAATGTGTTCAACATAATATGTATGTAAAGTGAATGTCCATGTATACGTTTTGCTTTCAACCGTGTGATGAGAA